AACATAACCATTTAAGCAAAATAGTGTTTCACTACAAGATATCCTAACATAAAAGTAGTTACCTTAATGTCTCTTTCCTTAAAATCTTTTGAGTATAACTTTGTATACTGTAGCATCAAACATATCAAGAAAATGTAAAACCATTCAAGAGAATGCCAGTATTAACAGGGTATTTAGAACCAACTAACAGAAAATGTTCAATGGTTTCTGTATAATCTTGTCTATAAAAGTTTTTGTTTATATTATCATATATAATAAATTCCAGTAAGATACAACATGTTAAGACCGATGGAGATAGAAGAACAAAAGCTTGTTGGAACTTCAAAACAAGCTGATAATAAATCATCACTAGCTATTATGATGTCTTGTTTTCTCCAAAATAGCTGTTCCTACCATCCAACCTTTTCTACCTCATTTCTGTTGAGCTCTTTTTCTGTCATTAGTTGTCAGTTTGTCTTCTTCAATCACTTTCTGCTCCATTCATTGTGGCCTCTCTGCCACTGTTTCTGGCATTTTGGTATTTTTCTTTTTTAGAATATCCTGCAGTATTCTCTGTGGAGTTGAATTGGTGGTTGCAAATTCCCCTAGTTCCTCTTTATCCTGGAAGCACCTTGTTTCTCCATTAATTTCTAGGGAGAGTTGTGCAGGATATATCTTGGCTGGAGGTTATCATCTTTCAAAGCTTGAAATATTTCCCCCAGCGCTCTTAGTGATTTGATAGTTTGTGCAGAGAAGTCTGCTGTAATTCTGATGGGTGTTCCCTTGTAAGTGATCTGTTTCTTGTCTCTGATGGCTTTTAATATTCTGTTCTTATATTGGATTTCTGGAATTTTGATTATTATATGCCTGGGTGTAGTTCTGTTTGGGTTGTAGGTGGCTGGGGTCCTGTATGCCTCATATCTGAGTATCTTTACCTTCTGCTAAATTAAGGAAATTCTCCTGGATTATTTCTGTGAGTAGCCTTTGTAGTTCATCTGTTTGTGTCCCTACTTCTTCCTTTATGTTCTTAATTCTTAAGTTATAGATCCTTTTATCATCTTCTAGCCTTTGTATTATTGCTGTTTGTTTCCTTGTTATTTTTAAGAAGTTTTTCATTACAGGCTTCCACATTACAAATCTGTCCTCCAATTCAGATAATCTATCCTTAGTTTCTTTCAAGCTGTTATGCCAGCTTTCAGTAGAGTTTTTAGTTCTCTGGTAATCTCTTTGAACCTGCTTCACATATTCTATGTTTTCTCTATTTTCTCCATCAAACAATTCTCTCCTTTTTTTCTGTTCTTCCATTCCACAATCTGTTTTTTCTTGGGTGGTGCTTAGCATTTCTCTAACTATTCTACTTATATCTTGCTTTATTTTGTTAAATACTTCACTTTTGAACTCATCTGTGAGGCTCCGGAGATACCACTTTATGTCTACTGGTGCTGTGTCTGATATTGCATGTTTTCTGTCCTCATTCTCCTTTGCATTTACCTTTCGTGGATCAGTGTTCTCAGGATTGAGGACCGAGGACCCTTTCTTGTTGCCTCTTCTTCTCATATTTTTTATTGCTTCCATACAGGCATATATAGGAGGCCCAGTTTCTTTCTTTTTGGTTTACATTTTGTTTGAATCCTGCTGGCTAGGTGTTCCTGCCCACTGCAGTGTACTAGGGAGACACAGACCTGGGCAGCCTCTGCTGGACCCGCCCCTCCAGGTCAACCTACTGAAGGCTTTACTGCTAGGGTGCACTGCCAGGCTCTGAGACCTGGTTTGGGTTAGCCTACTGGGTACTAATCGGTGGCTACCCCTAGGTCAGGGTTTCCCCACCAATCCCGCTTGAGAGGGGAATATGCAACTAAAGTCACTGCAGCGCCCTGTTCCAGCTAGTCTGCCCGGTCCCAGAATGTCCTGTGTTGGAGCCTCCTTATCTATGGAAGGGTCCCCATTCCTCTTACTCACCACAGGTCGATGCAGGGCTCCCCGCCAGTCCTGTTCTCAGCTCTGTTCGCCAATTCCTGTTCTTCGCCAATTCCCGCTCTCAGAGCTTTCACGTCTTTGTCCATGCTGTGCCAATTGAGACGCAGCAGCGGCAGCAGGAAATTCAAATCATGGTTTCCAGAGGCATGGGTTCCAGCTTCAGCGCTGAGATTTTTATCTGTTCTAGTCATAGCATCGGGATTGCATTTCCAGTTGGTTTCTCTCAGCTTAGTTTGTTCCTGGGTCGGCAAGGTATATTTCCCCTTGCTTAGGACTCCTCTGCACCATTCCTGGCTTCTAAGCTGGCTATCTCAGAGAGCCTCCATAACTGCTGTTATCTTTCTGCCATGTTCTCCCGGAAGTCCTTAAACTGAGACATTTATAGCTAAATGAATGGACCTTGAGACCATAATCGTAATTGATGTAGATTGGACATGTGTGTAAATATTGCATTACCTCCCTGGTGTGAGCAACTGAAAATGTATAGAAGAACATAAATGTACCATAGATACTGTGGAATAGAAAGAAACTGTTCAAAAGGAAAAAGGAAATGGAAGGGAAAGGAAGGAAAGAAAAAAATGAGCAAAGGATAAAATGAAAAGTAAACTTTATGATTGGGAAGGAAAAGGGGGTTTATAAAGAGGGGATGGGAATGAAAAAACCAAGATATATCATGTACAGTTATAAATTCTCTATAATGAATGTGGTTATTATGTATACCTAAATTACCTGTAAGTGAAAACACACATACACACACACACAAAAGAAAAAAAAAATGTTTTAAGCCTTGGGGTTTTTCTTCCTCACGTATCTACTTAATTGCAAAACCCTTATTTTACATTTCAAACATTCCATAAATTCATTCTGTGCTCTTAGATTTAGAGAAACTAGTTTGCTAGTTTGGTAATAGCTGCTGAGTTCATAATGATACAGGGGTCAAAACTCCCAACCTGCTAGATGTCCAAAGCGCCAAGTTCCTGTTCTCTAAAATTGGGAATGAATTTTAGGAACAGGTAGGAAGAATTTATTGGAAGAAAGAAAGTTTCTGTCTGAGTGGGACTGAAGGGGCACTGAAAGTTGCCTGTCAACCCTAAAGCCAGGAGGTGAGGTGGGCTCAAGGTAGGACAGAACTATAATCAACCAATATGATTACACGTATAGTCACTTAGGTAATACTGATTCAATGGCAAATCAGAGGATAAGTGTGAGGTGGGACAAAACTTACGGTCAACCAATAAGTATCCAACTATAGTTGCTTGGGTGATATAGATTAAATGGGGATCAAATGGGGAAACAGGTCACATTAGGATGGACAGGGGTGGGTAAGGAGGTTCAGACCTCCACCCCAAGGTGGTTGTTGCCTACTAAGAATCAGTCACTGCTATTCGTCCCGAGTAGTTCTTTTCCTAGAGGTCTGGCCTTCAGTGCATAGGCCTCTAGCTACCGTTGTCTTCTGCATCGACCTCTCAAGGGCCAACCCCTGTCTGAATGCCTACAATATTTCTATTTAATTTGGCTATCTATAACACTGGTCTGAATGTTTTGCTATTTGGTTTGAGCCCCACCCCACACCCCTCCAGTTTTTGGTAGAAATTGTACTCTTTCCCATTCTATAGCTGTGCCACTAAGCCTATAAATCCAAGCTTCTTGTCATGGCTCTGAAACATCCTGGCTTGTCTGTCTCTTTAGTCCCTTGATTATCATCTCTTCCCCATCCTTTGTACTGTAAATTCAATTATCCCAAAAGGCATATCCCCAAATACCATCACTTCTCATATATTTCTACTTTGGCATATTCTAATTTCCTGAAGCTATCCTTTTCCTGCTTCCTTCTATACTTACAGAATATGCTACTAATCCCTCAAGACCTTCCATCCAGGAATCACCTCCACAGTGTGTTTGCTAAATACACACTCTAATTAGGTTAGTAAAGTTTTATACTTTTTCCAAACATCTTGTACTCCAATTGTGAAACTTATCTAAAATGATTTGTCTTTTTCTCTGTTCCTTCACCTTTAACTGGAGGAGCTTAAAGGGTACAAACCTTGTGATTGTCCTTTGCAACTTCATCCTCTACCACAGTGTACCATACAGAGTAGAGCTTAGCAAAGTGTCTTTGTGTACTTTGGAAGTGACTGTGGATAACTTTAGTCTGCCTGTGTCATTCTGTCTAGAGACAGATTGGTAGACTCTAAAAACATAGAACTACTCATGGTAAATTGTGATGGGAGAGAATTCTATTGGATATGGTATTTATGTGATAAATGCAGGAATTGTAAGTTAGTGTTAAAGAAGATGAAGGTGTGTGGGAAAAGAGAATTGTGTATTTAATTTAAGATACTTGTGGTTTGAGATTAGATTTCTGGAAAGAATATGATCCATTTTAATTGTGGTGTAATTGGCTTTCTAAAAAGTTTTTCTGTCTTATAGTTGCTTTTTTGAAAAAATTAGCTGCCATTCCATTTCTATTTTTCATTTATGTATTAATGTTTAGCAAAAAAAGATTTAGAAAGTTAGTCATTACAAAGCTAAACACGATATAAACAACTTCACATGATAGATAGGCCCTTGACTCTTCATGTCTAAGGCCAATTTTTGAGTAGTGGTTAGAAGTCCAGAGCCTATGAATAAACTGTAAGTAGTTTTTAGATTTGACATTATAGAATCTTTATTTTTTATCGAATGAGTGAAATGTGAACTTGTAAATGTTACCTCAGAGTTCTTTTTCCAGTGTTCTCCTAAAAGTAGAAAAAGGCTAGAGTCTAGAGATTAAAGTTATCTGGCTTTGTATTATTCAGAAATTCTAAATTACTTCTTGTAAGACATTAATGAATTTTACTTTTAGGCATGGTTTTATGCACAGGTAATTTTTTATATGTATACTACATGTCGTAGAAATATATTAGCGTAGTTTCATTTCTTTGATAGGTTTGTATTTAAACAAAATAAGACAATTTTTAGTTGTTTTTTTGTTTATTCATTCTCTGATGCTACCTGTTAGGGATAATAAAGCAAATAAGATCATTTGCTTTATGTCATTTTAGCTGCAGACATTCAAGACTGCCTCACCTTGTCAAGATGTCAAACAGCTGACTAATGGAGTTGCGATGGCACAAGTTCTTCATCAAATGTGAGTATGAGACAAATTCTCACTGAAAAGAATTGTAAGCCTAAGAACACTTAGATTCACATCCTCAGGTCATTCAGATTTTGTCCTATTTGATAACATACTCAGACATAACAGTACCAAGGCTTTTTTAGAACTAAGGAATGAAGACATTCACTACTGTATTATTCCTTGCTGACCTAGAGAAACATTTTGACTAACTATGGGAAAAAAATGTTCTTATTTATTCAAGAAATTCATTTTAACATTGTTCTGTGCAAGTTCACAAGATAATGACAAAGGAAAAAGGTTAATGAATGAAGCACTTGTTGCTTCCTACAGTTACAATAATGAATTTTTCCTATATTTATATTATTGTCATTTGAAATTACCAATGCGGCTAGGAAGTTGGCTTCCGCGGTGGTCTCCTGTGTCCGAGATTCAGCGGGGAAGAAGCGGAGCACGGGCCATGAGGCAGAAGTACTATCTTGAGGCTGTGGCGCGAAGCTTACAGGATAGCTGCCCTGGCCAAGCCCGCTATCTCCTCTGGACCTACTCTTCGTCGCATGATGACAAGAGCACTTTTGAAGAAACGTGTCTGTATTGTTTCCAGTTGTTGGTTCTGGATAACTCTCGAGTGCGCCTCAAGCCCAAGGCCAAACTGACACCTAGAATACAGAAACTTCTTAATCCAGAAGCTAGAACTCATACACTTAGTTTTAAAAAAGCAAAAATAGTGAAAAAGTACAGAGACTCCAAAAATGTACTGTTGATTACTTTTAAGACTTGCAACAGAACAGTTAAACATCATGGTAAAAGTAGAAGCTTTCTGTCAGCATTGAAGAATGTTCCTGCTACTCCTACAAGTAAACTTGGCCCAAAGAGACCAGAAAAAAAGACTTCAAGCTCCACAAATGTATCTGATTCCAAAGGCCAGAGCCCAGCGTTCATTTTCAGAACACCTACATCTGGCCAGTCAACACCCATTTGCTCCTCAAAGAGTGGGAGCAAAAGAAAGAAACACTTCTCTCAACTAAAAATGTTGCCAGTCAGAGTGAATCCCAAAAGGATCCAAAAGTAGACTTCAAAAGTTTCTTATCTTCACTGTGAAGATTGGACTTTGAAACTATGAGATGTCTACTGTAATTTTTCTTTCTTTCTTTCTTTCTTTTTGGTGGCACTGGAGGTTGAACTCAGGGCCTTGTGCATGCCTGGCAGGCACTCTACAGCCTGAGCTGAAATCACAACCCCAGTCTACTGTGATTTCAGAACCTTCAATTAGTAAAACAGTTTGTTTGACTTTTATTTATTCTTTGAATAAATGGAAACTAGACTCAGAAACAAACAAACAAAAAAAATTACCAATGCACAGAAATTGTTTTCTCAAAGATTATTGAGATTCATGTACTGGATTTGAGAAAATGTTAAATTTTAAAGTCTATTCTGAATTAACAGTAGTAATTTAGGAATTACCAACCGTGAAGTGATGAATGAGTGAAATATGAAGTTACAGGTGCTAGGCAACTGTACCAATACATTGATTTTTTAAGCTAGACCTATTTTGTATGAAAAATTACTAAATCTATTATTTTCTAATACTTTTCAAATGTAATCCATTAAACATATCAAACATAACTAGTGTTATAATATGCACCATGAGCTGCACTTTCAATAGGACAAACAAGACCAATTCTGTACCCCTGATTTATTAGTTAATAGTAGTGATGATTTTGCATTAGCTTGTTTTAAAACCAAGATTCTGTCTCAGCTTCATTACTGTATTATCAGAAATTATTTGTTACCATGTCTTGTAAAGGTTTGCTTTAATGAACATTGAATACTACATCATAGCAAGATAGCTTAAACTTGTCATAACATTGTAGTTATTTGCAATCTTCAGAATGATCTGATTGGAATAGACATTTTTTCGTTAACCTGAAATTAACACTGTAAAAGACAAATTATTTGTAGCTACGGCAAAAGGATAAGTAGTCACCTAGTCATTCTACTCTGATTTTCTGATTTCTTCATTTTTTCATAGGTAGGTTTACTAAGCAAAATTAAAGAAATACTGCTCAAAAAGGAGTGCAGGCTCTCAAGGGATGAGACTTTAAATGTTTTAGTTATATCTTGATTAATTGTAAAATTTGCTTTGAGATCTTTCTCGATGATTTGGGGAAATCATTATTTCTGTCATCAGAATGTGTTTCTTGCTTCCTTTTCATTGATGTGTGTTGTGGTTGGTAGGGAAGCAAACTTGATACATGTTCAATTCTGTGTTCATTGTAAATGTAGGAACTGATATATGTTCACCATCCAAAGATGACATTTCTGTATGTATTTGGTAGGCGTTAGTAACTTTATGCCATAAGATGATAGAAGAGACATTGGTTTACCATAATGTGATATATTTATTTTTTTTCTTTGATTCGACCCTTGTATTCTATGTGATTATTATTATTATTATTATTATTATTATTATTATTATTGGTCTTTTTGAGACAGGGTCTCACTGTACAGTTCAGGCCGGCCTTGAGCTCACTTTGTAGCTGAGGGTGGTTTCAAATTTGCAAGGATCCTTCTGCCTCAGCCTTCTGAGTGCTGGGGTTACAGATATGCGCCACCATACCCGGTTTCTATGTAATTTTTAGAGTAGCATCAGATAAATGTGATTTAAACTGTCTTTATCAGCAATTTGTTTTTTTCCAATGTTGAGTTTTGCTGGTACTACTAATCTCTAATTTTTCTTACTTTGTGCTTTATTGTTTTACGTCTTATAATAGTTTTTCTATAAACTGTTATCTACAAAGTCAACCGATTAAGTCACCCAATTAAGAAAGCTTTCTTTTTTCATTAAAAGTGGGCTTAGCTTTCTCTTTTTTGTGTTCTCTTATTGCTTCATTTGCCTGTTTTATGTGTTAAAGTAACAGAATTTTAGGCAGCCATTCTTACTTATCTCAGGCAAATGTGCTTTTAAATGAGCACTTTAAAAAGTGATGTCCAAGCAATAAGATTACGATGTGAAGAGTCATGGAGTTACTGCTAGGATTCTGCAGGTCCTTAATTATTAACTTTAACTTAAATATGTGTTAAGTACCTCTCTTTTTAGGAGGTATTAAGAACTTTCTGTTACTTAAAAAAACACATGAAGAAAAACTCTTTAAGTGTACTAGATTCCTAGGACAGCTATAGCAGAGTAGCACAGAGTAGGTGGCATAACATTTATAAAAGTTAATTTTCACAGTTCTTGAAGCTAGAGAACTAAATCAAGGTATTGGTTAGGTCATCCTCTCTCCAAACCTTCCTTGCCTCATCCAGCCTCTGGTAGTGTCTAGAATTTCTTGGTTTATGTCAGCATAACTCTAGCCTCATCTTCCGTCTTCTTCACATGGTTGTCTTCCTTCTGTGTCTGTATCTGTGTCTCTTCTAAGGGCACCAGTTGTATTGGATTACAGCCCACTCTGACTCAGTGTGTAATAAGCCCATCTTACCTGGTTATATCTAAGAAGTCCATATTTCCAAGTAAGATTACATTCACAGGTACCGTACCCAAGGTTAGAACAATTTAAAAATAAGATTTTGTGTTTGTTTTTGATAATGACTCTACCTACAACTATAAGAATGATGCCATTTCCTCAAAAGGAAGACTTGGTTTTGTCATTTTAAGCACCATATAACCTCTCTGCTTATTTCTGTTGTCTTTGAATGTATTGTTTTATAAGAGGAAAATGAGATGGAGAATATAGAATATTCACATATTTATTTGTTTATACAGGAAATATTTGAGTATAGTATCTAAAATGATAACCATAGTAAGCAATATCTAAATATTTACTAAAGACATTGTAGATCACATTATGTAAGTTATTTTGTCTACTTTTTACTCCTCTATCAGGTAGATACTATTTTTACCCTCTATTTGTATATGAAGACAGAGGAATAGAGAGGTGACATTGCTTTTGGAAAGCCCACTAGTGAGTAAATTGCAAAGCTAAGGTTTATATCAGTTTGATGTGATTCCAAAGCTATTGCCTGTGGTCAGCTGCAATAAAAACCTAGTATACATCCGAAGGTAAAAACCTTCTGATGCATCATCAATTTAGGGTATTAATAAAAATAAAATTCATATATACATGTCCAAAATGCAGATCACAGTTTCACATGTTGAATACAGAAAGGTTTATTTGAGAATAGTAGTCTTAGGGTGACCTTTGAAATGAGACAGTAGTTACTTAATTAATGGTAGTTAATAATAACTGGTAGGTACTAATTACTACCTGGATTTTGTTGGTGAAATTGTTAAAGGTGAATGCAGATGCCACGGAAGGAGTTAAACATAATCATGTAGTGATTTTTTTCTGTTTTATTAGAAAATAATTGCTTATTAGTCCTTTGTCCCCTTTCTTATTTGGTGGCCCTTGAGTATCACTGAGGTTCTGAGAAATACAAGAAAAGAAATTATTTGAGAACATGCTAAAGTTGTAGATATAGCAATGCCAGAGATTTCTGAAGTTGAATGTCAAGTGAGAAAGACTGACTGCCAAAATTATTTGAGAAAAGATAAATTAATTTATAAGGAAGAAAACAGGAGATACGTTCTTGTCAGGAGGTATAAAATACCCATTTTTCAGGGTTACAGATGATTTGGGAAGGAAAGGAAGATAAGGAGCAATGTAAGACTAGTGATGGAATTATCGTAGAAAAACTGCATATGAAGTATAGGATTAATCTCTACCACTGAGCTAAATCCCCAGCCCTAGACCCAATTTCTAAAGGTGATTAATCATAGGATCATATGCTGTACTTAGATTTTTTTAAGGGCCAGTTAGAAGACTAGGGTAGTAGCGTTCTTTAGAGAAGCAGAACCAGTAAGGTAAACGTTGGTGTGTATGTGTGCATGCACACATGCACAGATACTTATTTTAAAGGGTTGGCTGATGTAATTGCACAGGTTTACAAGTGCAGATTCTGCAGATTGATTAGCAATCAGGAGACCCAGGAGGAAAATTCCCTGACAGGATTTGCTTTTTTGTGAAGGACATCAGTCTTTCTTTTTCAGCCTTCACTTCATTGGATAAGGCCCATTCACTTTGCAGCATGTACTTTGCCTTATTCAGTCTACTGATTTAAATGTTAATCTTACTTTAAAAAATTCTTACTACAATGTTTAGAGATGATTCTCCAGATATCTGAGGACTGTGACCTAATCAAGTTGACCCATAAAATTAACTATGGTGATAGTATATGCCTTGTAATCCCAGCACTCCAAGAGGCAGAGGCAGGAGGATCCCAGATTCACTTTCAGCAACTTAGATGCTATTTCAAAATAAAAAATCACAAAAGGTCTGGATATGTAGCTCAGTGTGATGGCCCTGGCTTCTATCCCTAATACTTTAAAAGAAAAAAAAAGGTAACTATCATACTTGGCATGGCTCATCTTAAGGCTTTTTGATTTCATATTCTGAAGTAAAAAGAAAGGCAGTACAGTCATTTCAAATATCTGGTTAGCAGTATATCATTTATATATTTAGCTAAATTGTTTTCATAATTATCTCATCATCTGGGAAAAAGGGGAACATAACTAGCATAAATTTACTCAAAAGTAAGTGATTACAAATTCCAAATAAGTTTATTAAAAATGTTGAAGCCATTTTTTGGTTATACTAGCCAAAAAGATAAGGAACATATAACTATATCGGTTTTGCATTTTAAAATTTAAAATACAACCTTGGAAAAGAGGAGCCCCACCCCTCATATTTTAGTAAAAGTGTAAATGAGACCTTTAAGACTACTTAAGCATTAACATTCTGTGATTTTGTAGTTGTTTAATCCTTAGAGCATTATCATATTCTCTTTTGAGTACAGTTCTTGTTTTCTTTCTTTAATGACTGTTTCTCCAATTCAAAGCAGTAAATTCTTTATCTTCAAATTAATATTGCCCAATTTCTTCGAGCAAGTAGTATCCATATTTGTTTATATTAATATAGTTCACTAAATATAATTAGTTGTCCTTCAAAACCTTATTAAATACATAAAAACTTTGTATAGCATTTATTTGTCTTGATCTTCAGTGTCAATATAGGACTTTTGATTAATTCTAAACTTACTTTTGTAGTTTTCTCAAACTTACTTACTCAGTCAAATTGATTTACTTTGCGCTTTACCACGTACCAGCTTCAGTGGAGGTAAACGACTTAGCCTTTCTCATACTAAGTTTCCCAAAAAGGAAGATTAAAATAGTAATATATTCTTCAAGTTACTATGATGTTTAAATAAAATGTAGTAGATGCTTATTAAAATGTTCATTTTCTACTTAACCCCTTTAGTGTTGTTACCTTTAGAGTTTCTGCTAGGAGGATGTCCAACCTTAAATATTTAATAAATGTTTGTTAAATTGAAGGTGTTAATGACTTAAATAATTTAATATGACTAGCTTAAATGAAATCTTTTAAGAATCATGAAACATTCAATGGGCTCATTCTAATTTTATAAGGATAGGTTGTAAGCTTATAAAATAACTTTCCCTGCTGATTCAATTTGATATTTTAAGTAATAATGACATTTTAATGTTTCACATTTATACTTTTCTTTTAGTGATGTTGCTTGGTTCAATGAATCTTGGTTAAGTCGAATTAAGGAAGATGTTGGGGACAACTGGAGAATAAAGGTATGAATGGAGTAGCATTTAATCCAGACAGTAGGCCTACCACTAACACTAAGCTCAACTACATCTTTTTCAAAAACTAATTTCTGAGTGCATTTTATTGTGTACAGTTGAAATTTTGACGTGTGTGATGTCATGTAACTACCATCATAATTAAAGAATCAAATCTTCATTAAACAGTAACATGCACTTAGACCTCTTCCCAGTTACCCTTTTCAGCTCTATTCTGACCTCAAAGCTGCTATGAATCTGCTTTATGTCACTACAGATTCCATGTTTATAGACTTCCATATAAGTGGACCCATACAATAGATATTATTTATGTGTAGTATTTTTCATTGAGAATAATGTTTTGGGACTTAACTAACTATGTTGCTTTATTAGTGGTAACTCTTTGGCTGTTTTTGCTGTGTATTTGATTACATTGATATACCGTGATTTGCTTATCCTTGTTGTTAATTGTTTGAATTGTTTCTGGGTTTATTATGAGTTCAACAGCAGTGAATACTTTGTATCAGTTTTTCTTAGAGATATATTTAATTTTTCTTGGAAAAGTTTCTAAGTGGATTTGCTAAGTTGTGTTATATGTTTACCTTATAAGAAACTGCAAAACTGATTCTCTGTTTTTAAAACCTTTTTCTGTTTTGTTGTGTTTTGTATGTGTTGGTTTCATGTAAATTGTCTAATTTGTTGGCATACAGTTGTTCGTAACAGGATTATTATGCTGATAATTTACTGCTGATTAAATGTTCTTTAATTCATATTTCATCTGTCCTAGTACTGATAGTGTTTTTAATATTTAGTTTTTCAGTTTTTATATTTTCTTCTAATAGCTATCTACTGTTTCATTCATTTCCTCTTTGATTATGTTTTCTTTCTTTAGTTAACATATGCTCTTCTTTTTCTTGCATCTTAAGGTAGAAGCTTAAATACCTCAATTTTAGGCTCCTTTTTCACCCTTACATTAAACTCTGCCTTGACAGCATCCATTACATTTTAACATACAGTGCTCTTATTTTCATCCAGTCTAACATATTTTGTAATTTCCCATGTGATATGTTTTTATCTAGAGGTAATTTATAAATAGATAGTTTAAATTCTAATTACCTTCCATTTATTGATTTCCAAAATAGTTATATTTTGTGTGAGAATGTACCTGTATGAGAAAGTTTTTTACATTCACTGAGATCTAACTATAGTATCTGTGTTCGTGAACGTTCCATGTACACTTGAAAACTACATAGTCTACAGTTGTCCTGTAAATACAGATTATATCCAATATGTTGATATGCTGTGTATATCTTTTCTATTTTATTGATTTTCAGTCTAGTTATTATATTTTACAAAGGGGAGCATTTCTTAATTATGTAACAGGGACTGTGGTTTTTGTTCATTTCTCCTTTCAGTTCTGTTAATTTTACTTCATGTAACTTGAATTTCTGTTGTGAGGATCATAGTATTATTTTTAACACTTTTTTGATGAAGAATTATGCACTGTAATTATACTGTTTTTATTGTTTGTAATGGAAAGTTTTTATTATCACTCATCTTGGTATAAATTTTTTTTCATTATTAATAAAAATTTGCATTGCACTTTTTTTTCACATTAGGCTAGTAACTTAAAGAAGATTCTTCAAGGAATTATGAGTTATTACCACGAGGTATGAAAAGTATCTGACTTCAAATACAAAATAATTTTATTGACATTGAAAAAGTGATTTGAATTTTTGCCTACAACATGGGAGTCTAATTCATAATTGAAATGTTTTATTATTGCCATTTTTAGAATATACAAGTTTTGTGAAAATCAGATTTAAAGTTTAGATCCTGGATTTGCAATAAAAGTTGCTTTTATATTGATACTCATTAAGTTGATTATTTTCTCAAAAATTTTTTAATTATGACTTAATGAATGGCAGTTCTTTAGTTGATTTTATCATTAAAATTTTTGTCTCTATTTTAAGTATGTAAATTTGTAATTTATTTTTAAAAAATTTAATGTTCTAGAATTTTTTATTTTGCATAATACCTAAAACTCATTTTGTAGCTTTTCTCAATGCCAAGAAACTTTTTAATAAGATTAAAACAAAAAATTAGCCAGGAAAAATTAATCCATTAGATGTATTATTCATTTGTAAAATGCAGTAGTTCATCTTTGCAGGCTTTTGTTAATCATCTATGAATTATTAAAAATATCATTTTAACATACATTTTGTAATGGTAGATTACTTCATGTGCTTTTTAATTAAATGATTCTCTAACAATGGAATCCAATAAAAGGTAAATACAGTAGTTTGTAATTGGTTTCCCAAAATATTGAGAGGTTGTGTGAATATTGCTAATTGGTTTTAATCAATAGCCATTGATTTGTCATTTGTTAATTTATCTTGAGTTGTCTCATGTACCTAATTAATGTAAAAAGTTTTTTGTAGTGTAAATGACTGATCTAATTCACTATTTTGATGCCACAGTTTTTGGGGCAGCAGATTTCTGAAGAACTTATTCCTGATTTAAACCAAATAACTGAATGTTCAGATTCTGTGGAGCTTGGGAGATTGCTCCAGCTTATTTTAGGTTGTGCAGTCAACTGTGAAAAGAAGCAAGGTAAGTGAATTTCAGCCAATAGAGGTTTTCTACCTAAATTCTGATACTCAATAAATAAATTAAATATATTTGATTCTACTTTAATATAGCCAATTTTTAGACTTGATGGATATTCAGTAAGTTATACTTTTTTTTATCTGGTAGATTGTTTTGTAAGGCAGAGCATTTGATTCAGTCTTCTACAAATATTTATTTGTCTAGTTACAATCTGGGCTTCTTTAGGTAGTATTTTATTCTTTGTTAAATACTTAGCTATTGCATCTCCTGATGATGTGGTGATATAAGTAGATTCGTGCATTATAGTAATAAACCCACACAGAGTTATACATATTCTGCTGAGTACAAAAGAGCATTTTTGGTTGCATGTAATGAATAAAATTATGACCAGAACAGACCTAGATCCCGTCTGTGGGAGCTCATAAGACAGGGTAGTGAGAGTTTTGATGCTGTCTTCTTGTTTTGTTTTCTATGTAATTCACTCGAACTTGGTTTATAACATACTACATTTATAAAACTTTGTAACCTGGGAATGTGGTCCAGTGGTAGAGTGCTTAAAAAATACATTTAGTTGCTTAAGTGTGTAGAACCTTACTAATCATATTTAGCAGTATGTAACTAATTACTAAAAACCACAAGACAAGATAAATTCTCTAAGAACAAATTCAAGAAGGAGAATAGTAATAATAATAATACTCAGCTGTAGTTAACCAATAAAAAGACAGAAAACTTTTAAATTATTACATCTCTGTAGCTAATGTTTTTTTCCTAGGGTATTTCCTTATATGCTCTTACTTTGCACTCACAGAGAATATCAAAGATCTGTATATTGGACTTTTTATACACATAAAGGCCAAGTTTTCAGGAACCTTAAAACTTCTATAAATGTTTAGTCACAGATTGACAAATAATTCATGTGTAAATCTAGTAACTTGCATATTGTGATTCTTTTTACCTTGTTTTTGAGAAATTCTTTGTTTCTACTTTATTTTCTTTATTTCTTATTTTAAGTAAAAGAAATGATGCAGAATTTTTTTAAAAGTAGGAAATTAACAGTAGTTAATATTATTTGTAACTTATTTTTGCTTAAGATTACCAAGTTTTCAGTTTTATTCATTCAAAAGAACTGTCTTTGGTTCTATTTTGTTTTTATTGAATTTCTTTTATCTTATTTTGTTTTCTTGTGAATTAATCAACTATTTCTATTCTGAGCCATAATTGACATTTTAAGCTATAATTTTCCCTGAAAGTGATGATTCTGTTGCATCCTGCAAATTTTGGTAGAAAATAACAATAAGTTCATCATTTGGATCTGAGTGTTACTAAGCAATTTTGTTCTTACGTTTTTGAAAGGAAATTCAATTCTAGACTACAGAAGAAAAATGTTTAACACGTAGTAAGTATAAGGAAATAGTTTACTTTCATTATTTAAAAATTTGGGAATATATAACTAAATTGAATTGAACTTATTTTTGAAAATACACATTCTTAGTTTTTACATATGAGCAGATAAGTAAACACACTCTTAATAATTTAATTAAAATTTACAAACCACCTCCAGGATAAAGATAGCTGTCATACCTTGGTACTTTCCAGTGAGAATTGATTTTTAGAATGATTTCAAGGTACTAGAGCAATCTCAATATTAGGAGAATGGACTGGTTTGATCACAGTATTCTTTGTGATGGGAAGGAGGTTATTTTTAGAAATGTTTCTGTAAACTTGAAACAATTATTTAAGAAATCCACTTAAATGAAATAAATTCCATCATCCATACATCCTCCTAGTTTGTTCTTTTTTCTCCCTCTTAATAATTGCTGGCCAGATGCCTACTACAACCTACCACATTACTTATATAATTTCTGACTAAATGAAATTTAGAGAACTTTTAGGAGTTTTCAAAGAATCATTAAATCAAAAGTATTAGAAAACTAGTAAGTCCTTAGAATATTGGAGCGGCTGTTTTAGCTGAAGAACATATAGTTGAAGTGAATTTAAATCTGTAAATACATGAAGGACTCTTTCTTAAGAGTTTTTCATTTACTCTCAGGACAGTCACCTTGACTTCCGGCATGTCTGTGGTGAGAAAGTGAATGCTGAGAAGGAGTTTATGGAGACCAGATATGTCCTTTTGTATGCTTTTGTAGGAAGAACTAAGGGTATAAATGAAACTTCCTGGGCTTAAAGTTAAATAACTATTGTCATAATTATTTTAATATTAATCATAGCATCTTTTTTCTTGAATTAAAACATTAAATATTGCTGTGAATATTTTAAACTTATTTTTAATGGATATAAAATGAAAAACCTGTTTGCACAAAGGATTATTTGTGCTGATACATTTTTATATTCTGTTTAATGGTTAAGGTACTTTGTGCAAAGGAATTTTTTTTAAATTCTGGTGTTTTTTTAAATCATAGAACATATTAAAAATATAATGACACTGGAGGAGTCTGTCCAGCATGTGGTAATGACTGCTATTCAAGAGGTAAGTTATATAATATTCATGTATGCATGAAAATCTTTAGCTAAATTATATAGAACTTCTTATATAAATTTTATCTCGTATGAACAAATTTTTCTTTGTATAAACTTGCCCTTTGCAGTATGTTTACTTATTTTTAGCTAGTGAGTCCTTTTTTCTCCTCAGAAATATCTTGAAAGACTGTGAAGCCTAGTTTTAGTACCTCTAGCTCTAATGCTGTTTGACAAATTAATATTGTAAAGTTTGTTTGATTAACTTAAACTAATCTAGAAAAACAGGTTGAACAATCTGCAGGCAAATAAGAATTTTTAGTTTCTCCACTTTCTTTTCAGCCAATGAGAGAAGTGTTTCCTCAGATTATAGTTTATATGTACCATGAGCATTTTCGGAATATTGGATTTCTGAGGAGACATCATGGTACTTCTGTTTTGTAGCCTTTGTAGTCTGGATTTGAGTTATTCTGATTCTCTCAGGAAAGACAGAAAGATTCAGAATTCACAGTGTACAGTGCTGATTCTTAATATCAGGCTAACACTCTCAGATGAAGTAGAGTGCAAAGGAGACAAAATAATAGAATATTCTCACTAATATATTTTTTTTAAAAGAGGAGAGGTTTACTTTGGCTCATGTCCCATAATCTTAATGTCCTCACTAATAAGCTCAAACATTGTTATTTAGTTAAATCATTAATAAAATTTTTACTTGAACAGTGTTCTGAGGATCATCAAATTAAGGCAAAAGAAAAGCTATGATTTTACCACTCTTTTAAGTAAATATGTTTTTGTTTTATTAGCATCACTTCACTTTTTATACTTAATTTTGCTGTTTTAATTTCCCAGTTGATGAGTAAGGAAATAGTGAGCTCTCCTACAAACGATGCTGTCGGAGAATTAGAGCAGCAGGTGAGTATTTCAGTGTGGAGAATGGTGTTGGAAAGGGTGATGCAACTCCTCTACCAACTACTCCAAAGGCTAATGTAGAGGATGTGTACAAGCAGAGTCTCCAGGATTATGTTCCAAGAGTTAGATAGCATTGAACTTTCCTTTTGACACTTGGGCCCTATCAGGTGTTTATAGAAATAGTTAAATGATAAACTATCTGAAAAATATTCTTAAGTTTAGTTGTAGTTTTAATAATATGATAATATTTTATGATTGTTGCTGTTCTCTTACATGATATTGAAGAGACAACTCAGTGCCTAAAGGATTCAATTACAGTAGTATTTTACATGGGGGAAATTCACTCTTTCCTCATGTGCAACCCAGTCTGGTTGTAGGAGAAAGGGTAAAAGGTGAGAAAATTGCAGCTCTACACATCTATTTTATTTTTAGATACGTCATTTTTTTCATGAGTATGACTAGTCCTTCAAGAAGTATTTCAAGTATTTTTGATTAAAACTTTTTAAATGCAATGTATTTTTCTAATATTTTTCGGCGATGAAATTAAAACATACTTTCTGTAATGATTTGGAAATACTTTTCAAGGATTCAGATACATTTTATTTTATTTTGTGGAACCTTAGCTTTAAATGTGAATGGGAATATGGCAGTATTATTCACATATAGTAAAGTTAAGACTAATTTGTTAATATGTAAATTTTAAAACCCATTTCTAGTATTAGTGTATATATGTTTTAAGAGGAATGTATTTTTCTGTTTTTGTTGAAACATGATTTACTAAGAGTGATGTTTGTATTTCAGCTTAAAAGGGCTTTGGAAGAACTTCAGGAAGCACAAGCTGAGAAAGAAGAGCTGAAGCAGAGATGCCAAGAACTGGATATGCAGGTATGCACGAGGACTCTCCTGTGAAGAGTATCCTCTTTACTTTGCCTTATTACCCTAACATTTCAGAGAGAAGACCTTCAAAACATTTGTTATAAGCCTCAGTATTTAAATAGGAATTTCATAAATAATTTTTCCCTTACAGTTGAAAATTGCTGGCCTATTTCTTTTGGAAAATCATCCTAACTGGAGGATTTCTGCTGTTCTGATGAAGACTGTTTTGTCTAAGATGGCAATATTAAAATATGTGCTGTATAGTTGTTTATGAATATTAAATGAGATAAGATATCCTCTGTGTGTGTGTGTGTGTGTGTGTGGTCTTTTATGCTAAGTTTGTTTGGCTAATGTTTATATATGAAATGTATATAAATTTATATTTGTAAGCAAGCATGGCACAAGCAACAACAGTTAATGCTTAAGGGCATAGACTGTCAAACAGGCTTCCTCTATTCATAACCTGACTGACCATATTACTAGTTGTTTGTGTGCATTCAGGTGAATTGCGTTCTCTGTAGTTGAGCTCTTTTGAGAAAAGGAGTCATAATAATATTTTTTAGAATATTTTTAAGGATTAAATTATATACAAAGAATTCAGATAGAATCTAACACAGAATGTTATGTAAATGTTTGCTATTCTATGAAAATACAGATGTGAAAGTTATGCTGCAAGCCCTGGCAGTGTCTAGAAAAAGTATAGAAAAGGTTAATTGTACCTTCATTTTATGCTATCTGTAAGTTGTAGTCTTTGTTCAAATAATGAGCTAGTTTCCTTAAATGTGTAAAGATGAAGAACCAATGTAGTACCATTCTAGCTAGATGAAATAAATATATAAAGTGTGATAAAGCTGGATAATATTTTTTCTTTCCAGTGATTTTTACATAAGGAATAATCAGGTGACTCAGTCATGATGACTGACCACATAGGTTAGTGAAAGCAGCAGAAATTAAGTCATCTTACTTCTATCTTAAAAAAAAAAAACCAAAAAACAATCTTCTCTATTTGGATATTACTACTTTCTCAGATGTAGGGAAAATTCTTTCTGCTCCTGTGCCTCTTTGCTAAGCACACTGTAGAATGCACACACACAAAACCAAGGAACCTGAAATGTGTTATTTTTCTAATAGGATCAGATTTACTATAAAATACCTTTCATACAAAGAATAGGAGATTGAACCATTCTGGTACTCCTAATTTTAAGATTTCCATGTAGTTTTCTGAGAAATCCTTACTCAGTATAGATTATAAAATTCTGCATTAAAAGATTTAAGTTCTTGTAATACAAAATGAAGAGGCTGTGATCTGATTTTAGTTGAGAAGTTTAGGAATTTCAATCAGAGAGGGACAGAAGCAGGTCAGGGTTAAATTAAAGGATATATCATGGGAGTTTGTTGAAAGAGGTACCTAGAACCACTCTAACATTCCAAGTCATAGACTAGGTGTGGTTCTCCACACACTTTTGCATAGTTAATGCTAGCTAAGAGGATCAGCAGGGACATCTTTTCTGACTGGTTTACAGATATTTTGTACTAGTGGGTTCCAATCCCTGTAAAGAAGTTGGACTGGATGACTGCAATATTTTATTATTCCTTATTATTCCTTGACAACTGTTGTGCTGATTTTCCAGCTAAAATTCTTATAAAACATAGTGCGTTTACTATATCCTTTTCCCCATGTTTGACTTTATTAATTCCCATATGACCAAGGGAGGATATCCTTAGATCAATGAATGGTAAATATAAAGACATCTTCTTGAGACACTCACTGGCAGCAGTGAAGGGAGGCATGGAGGTAGGAAGTTTTCAGATGGAGTTAATGGGAAGGATTGTGTGTGATGTTGACAGTACTCAGAACACAGTGAACAAAGACATAGCTGTGCACGCCTAATGAAACTTCTGGCCATGACCTTATTCTTTTATAATGATGAACAGGGTTGTGACTGAAGGATTCTGTATGTCAAATGAAGAAGAAGTAAGGTTTCACCTCCTTACATAGTCCAAAAAAATCTACCTTCATATCAGTGAGCTGGAACTGGATATAGATGATTTTGTGCATATGTGCATATATGTATGTGGATGCATGTATTTTGCTGTGCTGGGGCCTTGCATATATCAGAGCACTTCCTATACCATTGAACTACACCCACAGGCCCTATAAAAAAGTTTTAAGCAACGATGGATGACCAGGTTCCATTTTGTTGACTAATGGTTCTCAATCAAGGGGATTGTGTTAATAGTGACAGTGAAGATGTTAATGCTGCATAAAAAAAAGCATCTATAAGTGAGGCAAAGAAACTGTTATGGGCTTAGTGGAAAACTACAACAGTGTGTATTTATAGCAGAACAAGAAGTCATTTTGCAGAAACTAAGTAAGACTTCAGCACAGAGATTCTGGGGGCAACATATGAGAAAACCATCTAACAGGATGCCTCCTCATCCCTGAAAGACCTAATTCTGATCCCTCAACTGCTTTTGATGGTTCTTCTCACCTAAAAGTTAAAATTTTAATCAAGATATACCAGTGCAACATAGACTGCCAGCAGCTATTGTTTACTGTTGCTGTTGTTTAATCAGTGATACAAGGATTCTGTTGATGCCATTGTTTCCTGATCACCCAAAACACATTACTTTTTCACTGTACTTACTGCATCATAGTTTGTACTGATAAATACTTATGCATGAATGTAATAAAATAAATGCTTATCTGTAGCATATATATTCAAAGTCAAGAGTAGTGGCAATGCCAAACCACCATAACATTGTTCATATGAGTGGCTAAAATAGTGATTACCTTGCTTTTTGATGTTTCAGTAGCACAAACTTTGTTTCATGTAAAAAATTATTAGAAGTACTGTATTAAAGTTACTTTCAGGCTGTGTGCATAAGGTATATTTGAAACAAATTAATTTTTGTTCAGATGTAAGACCCATGACCAAGATAATCCATGTGTACATACAGATGTTCCAAAGTCTGATATCTAAAACACTTCTGGTCCCAGTTATTTCTGATAAGGAATATTCACCTTATAGTCTTCCTTTGGTACCGTTCTCACACCGGTGTGCTTCTTTGGAAGCTCCTTTGACATCTGGTATACAAATGTTTACATTTCTACTGTTAGGCTCTAAATGTCAGGAACTTTGTTTTATCTGAATCACTTAGAATTACATGTGACAGGTAATAGTAACATTTAGCAACACAGCATTGTTTCTTTACATCATCAGCCTAGGGATAGTTTCCAATTTACTTTTCTTATTTGGAGGTGGAAGCATAGTAATACAATTTTAAAGAGTTTATTTGATTCTTGAATCAGGGAACTTCACACCAGAGGAGTGTGCTGAGTACCATTTAGGGAACCCAGTGGATATTCAAAGGGCAGATACCAAAGTGAAGCAAAATAAAGCTGTGATTAGTTACAGCCATACAGTTGTCTTATTTGGTCAAAAACCCCTAGTTCTTGAATTTATTGGCTGCTTTGGACTGAGTAAATTTAAGTTTTATTTTTCTTTAATATTGCCATTTACAAGAAATAACTCAAGCTAGATTTAATTAATATTTTCAGATCAAAGTCTAGATCATTTATGGGGCCTGATTTTTCTGTCCAGCAATTCCTCAGGCCTTGTCTCTACCTCAGCTTCCTTTAACAGAGAACAGCATTTATAATTTGCCTATATTGTATTCAAGGTAGTCAATCTATTTTACTTTCCTATATAGCTAATTGTGTTAGTGTGTCATCTCATCCTAACTTGATGGAATTAATTATACCAATTGAAAATATTTTTATTATAAACTATTTATTGTAACAAATGTATACAGTAACATAGTAAATGTCATACAGTATACTTTTTACAAAATAATTCTTAGTAAAATCATATATAAATGTCTGATCTAATGTAAGATATAGCTACAGTCATAAAATTTTAAACTTTTAAAAAATTTTTAATTTGTTTAAAGTTTTTTTTTTTTTTAATGCAAAAGAAATAGAACAGGTGCCAGGAATTTAGCTCAATGGCATAAGCACCTGCCTGGCAAGCATGAGGTCATGAGTTTGATCCCCAGTACCAAAAAGCAAACAAAACAAACAAAAAAACCCAAAGGGAACAAAACAAGCTTGTTTTAAAAGTCTGTAAAACATGAGCTATTAACATTGATATGGTTTTATACTTGGATATTTTTATACATTTTAAATAATTGCAGTCTCCTTGTACAAATGTAAACAATCTAGCTTTTTGTTACTGATTTGTTAAGCAGATGTGCTTGTCCTTTAAATACATGACATGTGACTGATAATTTTTCTACTGTGAACCTAAAATGGCAACCTTAAATAGGCACAGCATTAGTCGGTACCTAAAAGAAAGACAAATATGTTTCCTTATATTCCATTTAATTTGACATTCATCAAATTTTGGGATTAGAAGCATATTTTCTCAAAACTACAGCAGATAAAACATTTTAAAAACATTGTTACTCTATTTTCTACATATAGGTACTTGATTTTCTTTGTTTGAACCAGACTTCCTACACCCAGAATCTATACTGGGAAAGATTGTTAGAAATTATCTAGTTTGATTTCCTAAGTTTGTTTCAGGCCTAATCCTATTAGAATCATGAACTCCAAACCATAAGAAGTTTTATTGCTATTAATCCGCTTATTTGTTTGTTTGCTTTTTAGGTGACAGCACTTCAAGATGAGAAGAATTCACTGGTTTCTGAGAATGAGATTATGAATGAAAAACTTGACCAGTTGGAGAGCTCTTTTGATGATCCAAATGTGATGGTTGCAAGAAAGTATATCCATGCACAGTTACAAGTAGAACAGTTACAGGAAGAAAACTTCAGGTAACATTCTTCATAGAAATAATTTTAGTAGGATTGTCTGTTAAACTAGTAACTAAATAATTCTAACATTTAAGTATTGTTGAACATACAGGGTAATGATTAAGCTACCAAAAATACCAAATGGCATAAATGATTTCTGCTTCACAGTGCTTATAGTCTAAGAATATAGAGATGTGTATGTGTGTATGCTATTAGCTAATTAAAACAGTTCAATGTCAAGCGGCAAGTGAAGTCCATTGGCAAGCCATTAGGAGTTCAAGAGAGTGATTGCTAAAGCCTTGGAAACATAGGAGAGGTATTCCCCAAGTCAAAACAATGTAAAAATCTTAGACTGCAGAGATGCTTTTCACTTTAATGTTTATATCTCTTCTTTAAAAAACATGAGTCCCTGATTTACAAAAGAGTTCCGTTCCAAGAGAACGGAACTTCTTTTTGTAAGTTTGGTTTGTAAGTTAGGTTTGTTCATAAGTCTGACAAAGTGAGTCTTTGACACTTTTGACACAGATATACAGTGTAAAACATAAAAAATCCAAACCTACATATGGCCACTGCCTTTCCTCTTCTTTCTGATCATCCCAGGCTCTGATCAAGCACTGTACTCCTGTACAGTATTGCACTGTACAGTAAGTACACAGCAGCATAACTGTGACAGTGTCTGGCAGTCACATGAGGTACTTCTGCAACTTGCTCACATCTGCGTAATGCGAAGTCCTTTAGTACCTGTGAAAGTTTGCAATTTAAATGTTCTTAAGTTGGGGACTTACTCTGTGTTCTTAAATTTCATAGACAATGATTGGCCTGTGTGCTTAACCACTAAACTTTGCACTATAAGACCACAATTAAAGACATTCATTCTGTGTGTACCATGCATTTTGACAGCATTTCAAACTTAGAAAAAAAAGTTGCAATAGTACTACAAGGATCTGGTTTTTATACTTCTATACTTGTTACACTTGCTATTTGTTTTAGGATTCTATGTATTCACACAGATATTGCATGTATTTGCCAAAATCATTGGAGACTAAGTTGGAAATGTACTTCTCTACTCCTTTATAGTTCACTGTATATTTACTAAAAACAAAGATATTCTTTTATAAACCTCACTAAAGTGGTCAAAATTGGGAAATTTGTCATTGATGCAATATTATTACCTAATTCACAGACCAATATTTGAGTTTTGTTAGTTGTCTCAAATCAGTTCTCTTGATATAACTATAAACTTATTTTTTTCTTGTTTTAAAGTCTAACCATCATGAATTGTATTTAGTAATGAATTTTTAGTGAACTATAAATTCATTACTATCATTTTATTTTGATGCTCAAACTACTCCAGATTTTCTCAATGAGAAGCCTTTCAAATGGTGCCATATTATCTTTCTGTGGGCACTTTCTTACTTTCTGACACAATAAAATGTTCCAGACTCATTGTCTTTAATTTAGCATAATCTAATTTGATATTTTATTTATTTGTTATGTTTATGTTATGTTAATATTTTATTTATGTTATGCTACACATTTTAAAATAATTATTGTAGTTACAGAATGCATTTTTAGACATCTTTTAAAGAGAAGAAAACAAAATTAATACAGAATTTCAAAACAAGCTAATAGGGGATTAACAAAGATTAATGTATTGTGTATTGTTATCTTCAAAGTATTTTCTCAGATTGCAAGATACAGGCATAAAAATTGATCAAACAATATAAGAACAAACTGTTATTTTCAACATACTAATAAAATTAGTAGTATAATTATCTTAGCTATTGTATATATATATATGGGTTGTCTGTTCACTTCATTGGTGATTCTTTTGGTGTGTAAAACTTCTTAATAAAATGTGATACTAGTTCTTGATTCTTCGACATTTTTCTTCATCTTTTGAAATTAAAATTTCAGTTAGGAGATAACTATAATGTTTCAAAAGTAAGAATAGTAAATTTATTTCTCTTGTCTATTTGAAAATTAGAGCCAAAATGTATCATATTCCTTCAGTTTCTCTTGTTTCCAACATAGCATTGAAATATATCATACTAAGGTTATATCTAAATAAGAAGTGATGGAAATTATAAATTTCTTTGTTCAAGACTTGAAGCTGCAAAAGATGACTATCGTGTTCACTGTGAAGAACTTGAAAAGCAACTGGTTGAATTTCAGCATAGGAATGATGAATTGACTGGTATGGCTGAAGAAACAAGAGCCCTGAAAGATGAAATTGATGTTCTTAGGTATATCTTATCTAAATATAATTATATTAATTATGCAAATTACTAATTGTCTTATTTGAGTGTTCCATTTCCTTATTCATGGATTCTTAGGCTATCCTGGTGTCTCAAATATTTATCAATTCTTTATTCAGGCTCCTAGACTTTTATGCTTATTATGTTTAAGGGTAATATTAACTTCTTATTAGGACAATTTCATATTGGAAACATTTATGTTGACCTTGTATACATTAGTATATTTTGAGAAATTTTTTGCAAAGGTGTTTATTATCATAATGTATATTTTGGCATTTGATGTAAGAATCTTTCCATTTATTTCATGAAACGTAATCTTGGCAATATAAAGTTTATACTAGTTTTTACCTATGAAATGCTACCTAGTCAAGAGACTGGACAAATGGCTTTCTGTGTTTTCTGTTATGTTTTTGCTGTGGTTTGCTAATTCTAACAAAACTTTTGCAACAAAAATTTGTAACAAAATCTGTATAACCATTTTATAGCCAGTGATGTTAACCATGTGTATTAGCGATTTATTTATCTTGTGGAATTCTAAAGAAAAGTTCTTTGTCAGACAAATTTTAAATTGAGGCAACTTTCTAAGTGTGTCAAACACAATAAAACTATGCTTAATGATATAGACAAAGCAAGGTTTTCCTACAGACTATAGAACGCCTTATAGTTTACTCAATTATATGTAGTAAGTTACTCTTGTTTTATATTTTGTGCTAAGAGCAGCTTGACAGTTGTCATATTTGAGGTATTTTAAATTTTAATGTCTTTATAACAAAATTTGAACTTCAAATGGTACAGGTGCATTATAGCCTGAAAGATTTTTTAATAGCCTGAGAGATTTTTTTAATAGCCAGAATAAAATTAATATGTGCATATACTAGTTTTACACAATAATGCTTCATCTCTAATTATTACAGGGCTACCTCTGATAAAGTAAGTAAACTGGAATCAACAGTTGAAATTTATCGTCAGAAGCTACAAGATCTAAATGACCTCCGCAAGCAAGTGAAAACTTTGCAGGATACAAACATGATGTATATGCATAATACAGTCAGCTTAGAAGAAGAATTAAAGAAGGCAAATGCAGCCCGTACACAGTTAGAAACATACAAAAGGCAGGTAAGAAAATGTCTTAATTGTAGTTGATATAATTGAAAGAGTTCACCACTGTAATTTCATTTGATCTTTCTGAATGATACAGAAGTTAAGCATTTCAGGTAGTAATGGGTAAATTTCTGATGAACTTCTGCTATCTATAATTTCAATCAAAGGTTTGGTAAAGAATTCTACCTCTCTGGGTCTTTAAACTCATTAACTTCTGAGCTTAATTTTTTAAATTTATGCATTTCTGATAATCAATGGTAAATGCCTACAGAATGGTAGACAATGGATCTGTAACCTCAAATACACTATTCCTCTATACATTGGACAACCTAATAAACACTAGAATGCTGCTTTTTAGCATTTTTGGCTAAATTATTATTTCAGATTTTATATTCTTTCTTTTCTACATGCTGTTTCCAAATATTTACAATTTTAGTATAGTCATTTTGTTTCCAATCAATTTTTTAAAAATTTACTTGTCTCTGAGAGGCCATGAATGTTGTATACTTTGCTTTGTACTTTTTTTCTGATCCAAAGGTTCAGGACCTGCACAGTAAACTTTCTTCTGAATCCAAAAGGGCAGACACTTTGGCATTTGAAATGAAGCGGCTTGAAGAAAAACATGAAGCTTTACTTAAAGAAAAAGAGGTGATCATAAATGTATCTGGTACCTTTACTCTTAGAGTAGTAGTATCTATTCATTCTCCATTGAAATTGAACTTGATATAAAAAAAAGGCTTACAAAGATTATTGTCTCTTCAGTTTTTGCAGTACATTTTATTTTGGATTAGCATATCTAAGGTATACATGTTAATGGGCTATAGTCTGGTATTCCGGCATGTACACAGTGCACTCTGGTCACATTGTGGCTCCTTTATCCATCTCCTTCACCTCTTAACTTGGAATCACTGACTACATTCATTATGCCTTGTCTTAGCTTCTGCAGAGGAGACAGAATTTGTAGTACTTGCATTTGTCTGTCTTACTTTACAAAATGTCCTCCATTTTGCTTGAAGTGATAAGATTTTACTAGACTTTTTAAAATTCGTATATATTTTTGATACATAATAATTTTGTGAGTATATAGTATTTAGGTCATTTTTTGTCACCTTTCTCTCGTCCCTTCCCATCTTCCTCTTTTCCTTTCTCTGGATTCCTTCGCCTGTTTCTGAAAAGTCTCCCAATTTCCTACTACTACTTTGTTTTGCTCTTTAAGTTACTTATTTTGGGTTTCTAAAACCTTGTAATATTAAGCATCTGTATCTGATTTAGTTTGCTTATTTTTATAGTTCCTAGTTTTCCTACCATTGATTCAAATTTGTCTTTATGGCTTCATGATACTACACTGTGTGTATGCACATAGCACTGTGATATGATACCTTTAACTCCTTCAGAAATGTACCAGGCTAGGTCAAATGTGATTTCTATTTTTAGTTTTTTGAGTAATCTCCATACTAATTTTTAAAGTCATTGTACTAGTTTACATTCACACAATGTAGAAGGGTTCTTTTTTCCACATCCTCAACAGTGTTTGTTAGTTTTGAGTCCTTGATGATAGTCATTATTACTGCAGTAAGATGGAATCTCGTATTGTTTGATGTGCACTTTCTTAGTGACCAAAGGTGCTGAGCATTTTTTCATGTACTACTTTTTATGTATTTCTTTTTAAGAAATACCTATTTCCTTTATTGACCTAGTTTTTGATTGAGTCTTTTGGTTTTTTGGGTCTTTTTTATGTTCTTCATGTGTTCTAGATATTAGTCCTCTGTCCAAGGAGTATCTGAAACATTTTTTTTTCTAGACTGTGTCAGTCTTCTCACTCTATTAATTCTTGCTTTTCTGTGTAGCAGCTTTACAATTGGATGTAATCCTGTTTTTGATTTTTGGCATTTTTGTTTGTGCAATTAGAGTCCTGTTCAGGAAGTCCATGAGTTTCACCTCTTTTATCTTCTATTAGATTTTGCTTCTCTATGTCTAGGTCTTTAATTCATTTTGATTTGAATACAAATTTTTGAAGTGTTTGTTAAAGAAACTTTTCTCCAGCATTTATTTTTAGTCTCTTTGTTAAAGATCAGATGGCTAAAGGTGTATGAAGCTATTTCCATGTCTTACATTTTATTGGCCTACATGTATATTTTTGTGCCAGTGCCATACTGCTTTTAATTATTGTAGCTTTGTGGTATAACTTGAAATCCAGGATTGTAATCTCTATTGCTTTTCTCTCTTTGTATAGGGTTGCTTTGGCTATTCTGGATCTCTTCTAGTTCCAGATAAATTGTAGGATTATTTTTTCTACTTCTGTAAGAATGCTGTTGGTATTTACTTGGAGTTGTATTAAATCTGTGGGTCATTATTAATAATGTGGCCATTTTGATAATATTGATTCTGCCAGTACCAAAACAGGTGATACCATTCTATTTTCTAATGTCCTCTCCAACTGCTTTCTTGAGAATACTACAGTTTTCATTATAGAGGTCTTTTACCTTTTTTTTTTTTAATGGACTCATTTTTGTGATTTCTTTCTTTTAAGTTCATTATTACTGTACAAGGACAATATTGACTTTCATGTGTTGGTGTTGTATCCTGCCACTTTGCTGAATTTATTTAGTAGTACCAAGAGTCTTGTGATGGAGTTTTTGGGTCTTCTTTGTTTAAGGATCCTATAACCTGGGAATAAATTGTGTCCATTTTACTTCTTTTTCTTGCCTGATTGTTCTGGCTAAACCTTTGAGCACTGTATGGAACATGAGTGGTGAGAGAAGGCACCCTTGTCTTCCTCTAGACTTTAGAGGGACTGCTTTTACATTTTTCTCCTTTTAGTATAATGTTGGCTGAGGGTTTATCATGGCTTTTATTAGTTCTATTCCTATTTTATTTTTTATTTGGAAGAGAATAAAACCAAACTAAATAAAACAGTAGTCAAAACAAAGCAGTGAATGTGATACAGAACTTCAAAATAAGATAATAGAAAATCAACAATGGCTACCATAATGTCTCTTGTTAGCTTCAAAGTAGCTACTTGTACCATCAGACATAATAAAATCAAAACAATATAAAATCAATCAAAACAGAAAAATGGAAGCAATATAGGGCTTCAAAACAAGATAATAAGTAATCAACCATGGCTACCATACCATGTTTTGTTATCTTTGAAATACCTGCCCGTTCCATTAGATATGATAAAACCAAACCAAACAGAACAATGAAAATGATACAAGGCTTCAAAACAATATTAAAGGAAATTAACAATGGCTACTGCCTTTCCTTTTTGTACATTTCCTCTGTTTTCACTTTTACAATATCTCTTGTGTATTTTGGATCCCACTAACTCCTTCAAGGTTTTATGCTAGGGAGACAACACAGTGTTCACCCATGGAACTCTGAACCATTTCACCCATAAGCATGATCAAAAGTTTTATCCATTTACCTACAAAAGCCTCAAGGTTATCCTTCTTTCATGCTGAGCTTTCTATTGTGTAAAAGTGCCATATCCTTCCTCGCCATTCTGAAGATGATGGCAAGCTACACCTGCTTTTCTCTGGTTCCCTGTCACATGCAGCACTGTTTTCTCTCCTTTGACTTTCAGTCTATGGATTTCCTTTCATGTGTTTCTTGTATAAAGCATATTGATGGATTCTGTCTTCTGATCCACTCTGCCTGTGTTTCACTTTATTGGTGAATTGAGGCCATCCACCTTAATGGTTATGGCCAACATGCACTGCCTTGTCTCCCCGCCTTGCTATTTTCCTGCCGTTAGTTGCCTACTTTTCCCCTCCATTCAGTTGTCTGCCCCACCTGGTGATCCCTCTGTGCAACTGTCCCTAGAACCAAGGTCATTTTTATCTCTGTCTAGCATGTCCTTCAATATTCTTTGTTGGGTTGGTTTGGTGATCATGAATTCCTTCAGTTGTTCTTTGTCATTGAAGTGTCTTGTTTCTCCATTATGAAAGATAGTTTTGCAAGTACATTGATCTAGATTGGAAGTTGTTTTCTTTCAGGACTTTGAAATACTTCACTCTACGCTCTTTTTTCCTTGACGGTATGTGTTGAGAAGTCTATCTTGATTCTGATAGGTTTTCCTTTATAGGTGATCTGTTTCTTTTCTTTTCTCTCAGAACTTTTAATATTCTGTTCTTATGTTAAATTTCTGGAATCTTGATTATTATATGGCTAGGTGTAGCTGAAATCCTATATGCCTCACTTATCTGTATTTCAAGTCCTTTTCTTATGCTTTGGAAGTTTTCTGCTATTTTGTAAATAGTCTATTTTATTTGTGTTGACCCTTGCTTTTTTGCTGACACTTAGGATTCTTAAATTATTTTTCTTCAAGTCATCTTGCAGCTGTTGAATTATTTCCTGATCCTTTGTTATTTTTAAGAGTTCTTTTCTTTTGTAATCACTAGCTAGAAACCTCTGTTCAACGTCTGAAAGTCTATCTTAAGTTTCTTTCAAGTGTTTTTGCCAGCTTTCAATGGAGTTTTTAATTTCCTTGATATCTCTTTAAATGTTACATGCATTCTAAATATTTCTTATATTGTTCAGCCCTTATTTTCCTATACTCCTCTATTTTGTTTACCTATGTCTTTAGAGAAGCTTAGCAATTCTTTTATTGTTTTTCATTTCTTGTTTTACCTGAGATATCATGAATAGGTGTTGGTTTTATCAAAGACATTTTCTTCATCTGTTGAAATGTTTAAGTCATTTTTATCCTTCTATCCTTTATACATTCTATCCTTTATGTAATCTATTACGTTTTTTGATTTACAGGTGTCATACTGTCTTTATATCTTTGGGATAAAGCTGACTTATCTTTGAGATGCTATGTGATCTTTTTAATGACTTGTTGGATTCTGTTTACAGGTATCTTGATTTTTGCATCTTGTTCCTCAAGATTATTGCCATAGGTTTATGTTATTTTTTTCATGGGTTCTCATCTGGCTTTGGTAACAGGTCAATAGTGGTTTCATGCATTGAATTTGCAGTGTTCTTTTCCTTTCAGTTGAATGGAAGAATTTGAGGAGTATAATTCTTAATTATATTTAGAATTAATATCATTCTTTTCTGTTAATTCTTCAGAGAAGAAGTAGTCTCTGAAGTTCTCGTGAAACTCAGCAGTGAGTTTATTAGGACCTGGACTTTTGTAGTTGTTATTGGTAGAGTTTTTATTACTTCCTCAATTTCATTGCCTATTGTTTAAATACAATGTATTTGTATCTTTATGGTAATATTTTTAGTAATTCATATGTACCTTGGAATTTACCATTTCTTCTAGGTCATCCCATTTATTGGGATATAAGTTTTCAAAATGGTTTCTCTAATCCTCTGGATTTCAGTGTTATTCACTGCAATTTTGTCATTTTCATTTCTAATTACATTGCAAAGAGTCTTTTCTTCTTTTGGTACTTTGACTAATGGTTTGTTGATACTATTTATACTTTCACAGAACCAATTTATTTATTTTTTTATTTAGTTACTCATTTTGTCTCTGAGACAAGATCTTGCAGTGCAGTTAAGGCTAGTCTTCAGACTTGCAAGGATCCTACTGCCTCAGCATTCTGAGCACTGGGCTTACAGACATATGCCACCATGCTCGCTTTAGAGCCAGTTCTTTAATTCATTGCTCCTTTTGTATATTTTCAGTCTCAGTT